AGCCGTCTCCAGCCATTATTAGTCTCAAAGTGGGTTCCTCGTCATCGAATTCCCCTACCTTTGCTATCCACACAAACTATCAAAACTATTGGGCACAATATCATTAATGGACTTTAAAGTTTTATGTACAGGCTTCACAGATTTCTGATTAAAAAAAGTCTTCATATTGAGCAAAATCATCCAATCTTAAATAATAACTCAACTTTGTTAACTTGTTTATATATATATTAAGGGCCTAAATTAAAGATTCTCATTACAAACAATTGCAGTTACACAAAAAGTGTCAATTCACTATTCTTGATGTTATCTGTATTTATTATTTTATATTTACTCAAGGAATCTACTGGAGATGGAATGTATGTAACAAAAAACATTGAATAAGTATATTATCTGTCACTTTTGTGGTTGTGTTGTTCTTAAATATACAGTTTTCCATTTATTCAGTCAGTTATTACTGACTGGTAGGTCAAAGTTCACTGAGCAGGAAATTAACAACTAAGTCTTTTACAACTGTTACTTACGTTGGTGTCTCAGCCCAGGCTTTCTTTGGTCTGTACTCTGGCTCAGAGACCTGAATCTTGTTATTAAAACTGTCATATGGGCGGACATGGCCAATGGTGGTCCCATTCATTTTAACACCTGTTTTGGACGGCTTTTTCTCTTTACCATCTAGCCCTTCTCTTGTTAGAGCTGGGATAGTTTGGCGAGCATATCTTTTACTAGGAGATCTGAAAGTTGAGACAAAATTGATGAAAATTGTCATGTTAACTAGACATCAAAGGTCTATATAATTTTTAAAGAAAAAAAAAACACGTTATCATAACTATACATGTTACCATAAAACTAACTTCTACATTCCTCCTAAAGAGATGTAATAAATGAACAAAACTCCCACAACATCTATAAAACATAACTAGTCCTATTAAATAACTACTCAATAAGAAAGCTTGAGACATGCAGTACCCCAACTTCCCCCAAAGTAACTATCCAGCTAGAAACTTTGATTACATATATATTACTATATTGTTTTAAGTAACTAGTTTGGTGGTACACATTGTTGCAAAACCTCCAGCTAGAGCTATTCTCGTAACAACTTTGGTTACATATACTGCCTTAACTCCTTACTAAGTAACTAACTAACTAGAACATTTGGTAATATGCAGTATTCTAACTCAACCTAGTACAGTACTTCCTCATTATAACACTACCACTGTGAGCCATGTGCACCCAAGAGTGATATAAGTGGGGGGAACATTATAACCAACTAATCAAAAAGGTACTCATGCTAATCAAGTACAGATTCAACAGACTACTAAAGCAATCAAATAAATAAAAATAACTAGTTATTTTCATTAGAAAAATAGGTATATATATAGAGAAAATAAAATGCAATAATATAAGGTAAAATA